GAAGAAAATTTCCCCAACCTGAACAAAAAAAAATGCCTATAAACATATAAGAAGCCTAATAACCACTAAATAAATAAGACCAGAAAAGAAAATCCTCCTGCCACATAAAAATCAAAACACTAAATATACAGAACAAATAAAGAATATTAACAGCTGCATAGGAAAAAGGCCAAGTCACATATAAAGGCAAACTTATCAGAATTACATCTGACTTCTCAATAGAGACTATAAAAGCCAGAAGGGCCTGGACAGATGTCATGCAGAAACTGAGAACAGAAATGTCCACCCAGACTCTTATACAAAATTTTTAATCACCATGGATGGAGAAAACAAGATATTCCATGACAAAACCAAGTTTAAACAGTACATAGTCATAAACCCAACCCTACAGAAGATACTAGAAGTAAAACTTCAACCCAAAAAGGTTAACTACCCCCAGGAAAACAAAGGAAACAAGTAACTCCACAAAGTCAAAAGAGAGGAAGCACACACACATACACACACACACACACACACACACTCTACCACTACCAATATCAAAATAACAGAAAGTAACAAATGGTTGTAAATATCTGTCAGCATCAATGACCTCAACTCTTAATTTAAAAAAAAAAAAAAAAAAAACACAGGCTAACAGAATGGGTGTGTAAACATAACCCATCATTCTGTTGCATACAAGAAATACACCTCAGCAATAATAATAGATAATACCTCAAAATAAAGGGCTTGAAAAAGTTTTCCAAGCAAAAGGACCCAAGAAACAAGCTAGAGTAGATGTTCTAATATCTAATAAAAAAGACTTTCAGCCAAAACTAATCAAAAGAGATGGGGAATGGCACTTTACATTCATCAAAGGAAAAATTCACCAAGATGACCTCTCAAATCTGAACAAAATGCCCCAAGTGCAAGGGTACCCACATTTGTAAAATAAACATTAATAAAACTTAAAATACACATTGAACCCTACATGTTAATAATGGGAGCCTTCAACACTCCTCTCTCACCAATGGACAGATCGTTGAGAGAGCAACTAAACAGAAAAATAATAGAACTGAACATTATGAGTCAGTTGGACCTAACAGATACTTACAGAAAAGAATACACCTTCTTCTCAGCACCTCATGAAACTTCTTCAAAGTTGACCACATACTCAGACACAAAGCAAGCCTCAACAAATACAAGAAAATTGAAATAACACCCTGTATTCTATCAGACCACCATAGTTAAAGCTAGACTTCAACAACAGAAACAATAGAGTGCTTGCAAACTCATGCAAACTGAACAACTCTCTACTCAATGACTACTGGGTCAGGAAAGAAATAAAGAAGGAAATTAAAGACTTTACAGAATTCAATGAAAATGAAGGTAGAACATACCCAAACTTATGAGATGCAATGAAAACAAGACTAAGACGAAAGTTCGAGCCCTAAGAGCCTTCATAAAAAAGTGGAGAGAGCCCACACTAACAACTTACCGCCTCACCTGAAAGCTCTAGAATAAAAGGCAACAAACACACCCAAGAGGAGTATACGGCAGCAAACAATCAAACTCAGGGCTGAAATCAACAACTAGAAGAAAAGAGAACAATAAAGAGAATCAACAAAACCAAGAGCTGTTTTTTTTTAGAAAATCAACAATATAGACAAACACTTAGCCAAACTAACTAAAAGACAGAGGCAGAGTATCAAAATTAATAAAGTAAGAAATGTAAAAGGGGATATAACAGCAGACACTGAGGAAATTCTAAAAATCATTAGATCATACTTCAAAAACCTGTACGCCACAAATTGGAAAATCTAAATGAAATGATTTTCTTGATGGATACCACTTACCAAAGTTAAATCAAGGTCAAGTTAGCAATTTAAATAAACTTATAACCCCTAAGGAAATAGAAGTAGTCATCAAAATCCTCACAACCAAAGAGAACCCTGGGCCAGATGGTTTTAACACAGAATTGTACCAGACCTTCAAAGAACTAATAACAATACTCTTCAAACTATTCCACAAAGTGGAAACAGAAGGAACATTACAAAACCATTCTATGAGGTCACAGTCACCCTGATCCCTAAACCACACAAAGACCCAACCAAGAAAGAGAATTTCAGACCAATCTTTCTTATGTATATTGATGCAAAAACACTCTATAAAATACCTGCAAACCCCTTCTTTAATATGAAAGAAAGAGAATTAGTAAGACTTGGAGAGGACAGGAGCTCCATAAGGAGAGCAACAGAACCAAAATATCTGAGCCCAGGGGTCTTTTCTGAGATTGATACACCAACCAAAGACCATTCATGGATATATCCTAGAACCCCTGCTCAGATGTAGCCCACAGAAGTGGGTCCCTAGTAAGAGAAACAGGGATTGTCTCTGACATGAACTTAGTGGCTGCTCTTTGACCGCCCCCCTGAGGGAGGAGCAACCTTGCCAGGCCACAGAGGAGGACATTGCAGCTAGTCCTGATGAGACCTGATAGGGTAGGGTCAGATGGAAGGGAAGAGGGACCTTCCCTATCAGTGGACTTAGAGAGGGGCTGGGAGGAGATGAGGGAGGGAGCAGGAGATTGGGAAGGAATGAGGGAGGGGCTACAGCAGGGATACAAAGAGAATAAAATGTAACTATTGTAAAACATAAAAATTTAACTAATAAATACTTGCAAACCAAATCCAGGAACATATCAAAAATATTATCCACCATAATCAAGCAGGCTTCTTCCCAAGAATGCAGGAATGGTTTAACATGAAAATCCATCAACGTAATCCACCATATAAACAAACTGAAAGAAAAAAAAACTGTGGTCATTTCATTAGATGTGAAAAGGTCTTTGATAAATTCCAATACCCCTTCATATTTAAAGCCTTGGAGAAATCAGGGATACAAGGTACATACCTAAACATAATAAAGGTAGAATACAGTAAGCCAATAGCCAATATCAAAGTAAATGGAGAGAATCTTAAAATGTTCCCACTGAAATCAGGGACAAGACAAAGCTGTTCACTCTCACCATATCTCTTCAATATAGTACTTGAAGTTCTAGCTAGAGCAATAAGACAACTAAAGGAGATAAAAGGGACAGAAATCAGAAGAGAAGCAGTCCAAGTATCACTATTCACTATGGTATAATAGTTTACGTAAGTGACCCCAAGGATTCTAGCAGAGAGTTCCTACAGCTGATAAACACCTTCAGTAAAGCGTCTGGACACAAAATTAACTCAAAAAAGGTCCTCCTTTATATAAGTGACAAAAGGGCTAAGAAAGAAATTAGGGAAACAACACCCTTCACAATAGCCACAAATAATATAAAACATCTTGGTATAACTCTAACCAAGCAAGTGAACCTCAAGTCTTTGAAGAAAGAAACTGATGGAAAGGTCTCCCATACTCATGGATCGTTAGGATTAACATGGTAAAAATCCCCATGCTGCCAAAAGCCATCTACAGATTCAATGCAAGGCCCATCAAAATTCCAAGACAGTTCTTTACAGACCTAGAAAGAGCAACCACTAACTTCATGTGGAAAAATAAAAGACCCAGGATAGCCAAAATAATTCTGTACAATAAAAGAATGTCTGGTGGTATCAATGTCCCTGACTTCAAGCTATACTACAGAGAAATACTAGTAAAAACTGCATGATATTGGTATAGAAACAGAATGGTTGATCAATGGAACCAAAATGAAGACCCAGAAATAAGCTCACACTTCTACAGGCACTTAATTTTCCCAAATTATAGAAGCCAAAACTATACAACGGAAAAAAGAAAACATCTTCAACAAATGGTGCTAGTCTAACTGGATGTCTGCATGTAGAAAAATAATATTAGACCGAAATACATCACCCTGCACAAAACTCAAGTTCAAATGGATCAAAGACCTTAACATAAAACCAGAGACTCTAAATCTATTAAAAGACAAAATGGGGAAAATGGGGAAATCTTTGGCATAGGAGACAACTTCCTGACCAGAACACCACAGCACAAGTTCTGAATTCAAAAATTAATAAATGGGATCTCATGAAACTGGGAAGATTCTGTAAGTCAAAGGATACTGTCAATAGAACAAAACAGCAGCGTACAGACTGGAAAAAGATCTTCACCAACCCTACATCAGACAGAGGGCTAATATCTAAAATATTCAAAGAATTTAAGAAATTAAACATCAACAAATCAAAAATCCAATTTTAAAATGGGGTACAGAGCTAAACTGAGAATTCATAACAGAAGAATCTTGAATGGCTGAGAAACACTTAAAGCAACACAGTGTCCTTAGCCATCAGAGAAATACATATCGAAATAACTAAGATCCCATCTTACATGAGTCAGAATGATTAAGATCAAATATTCAAGTGACAGCACATGCTGGAGAAGAGGTGGAGAAAGGGGAACACTCTTCTATTGCTGGCCCACTGTACAGGTTCTGTTGCAAACATGTACAGTGTCTCTGGAAATCAATCTGGCACTTTCTCAGAAAACTGGGAATAGTTCTACCTCAAGACCCAGCTGTATCACTCTTGGGAATATACCCAAAAGATGTTCCACCACAAAACAAGGGCATTTGCTCACTGTGTTCGGAATGGCTTTATTTATAACAGCCAGAGACTGAAACAACCTAGATGTCCCTCAAATGAAGAATGGTACAGAAATTGTGGTACATTTACACAATGTAATACTACTCAGCTATTAAAAACAAACACAACAACACGAGGTTAGAGGTCGCCCGGTGTGGCCCCTTGGGGCCCCTGTGGACATGGAGACACGGGGTGTGGTCCCGGCAGCTCGTGGTGTCTGGCCCCGCGGGACTGCTCAAGATGTCGTACATGCTTCCGCATCTGCACAATGGCTGGCAGGTAGACCAGGCCATTCTTTCTGAGGAGGACCGCGTGGTCGTCATTCGTTTCGGACACGACTGGGACCCCACTTGCATGAAGATGGACGAGGTTCTGTACAGCATTGCCGAGAAGAAATGGAAGATAGTGGGAGATCTTCCTCATCTTATATGAGTCCTGTTTGGATATCCCAGCTGTTTTAAAGCAAACGGTGTTGGTGTCGCTTGTGCTCCGTGGCATCCTCTCTGGTTCTCCCGAGTCGGACAGGCCTATCTGCTGCCAATATGAACATCCGCAGTGCTCGGCCTGATGACCTGATGAACATGCAACACTGCAACCTCCTTTGCCTTCCTGAGAACTACCAGATGAAGTACTATTTCTATCATGGCCTCTCTTGGCCCCAACTCTCCTACATTGCTGAGGATGAAGATGGGAAGATTGTGGGTTATGTCCTTGCCAAAATGGAAGAGGATCCTGATGATGTCCTTCATGGACACATCACTTCACTGACTGTGAAACGCTCCCACCGGCGCCTTGGCCTGGCCCAGAAGCTGATGGATCAGGCCTCACAGGCTATGATTGAAAACTTCAGTGCCAAGTATGTGTCCCTGCATGTCAGGAAGAGCAACCAAGCAGCCCTGCACCTGTATTCCAACACCCTGAACTTCCAGGTTAGTGAGGTTGTCGGGAGCCATGACTCCAAGCTGCCGGCTTTGATATTTAAATCTCGGTGGAGAGATTTAAATAGGCCTTTCAGCAGGCCTTTACTAAAGGCAGAGAACTTGCAAGTCCATCTCCTTTTGTTTGTGACAGCAGGTGGGATAGCTTGTGAGGATCACACCTCTTCCTCAGACTCCTTGTGGAAATTAACCATTGTTCTGAGATGTTTCTACTCTGGCTCAGAAACTCTACAATAAAAAGACAGGCTGACAGTTACTGAAGATGAAGGCTGGAGAGGAGGCAGAGACTTGAGGCTTGCTGCTGACACTGCTTGCTGCAGCAGTCTGTCTTTTGCTGTGGCTGTCGAGTCTGGACCTTTAAAAAGTTTCCTGTGTGCTGTGTGTTTATTTTATTAATTTTAATCCTCACTCCCAACTCAAGAACCGTTCGACTCTGCTGGCTGGCTCTGGCATGAGGTGGAGCCCAAGAACTATGCAGATGGAGAAGATGCGTACGCTATGAAGAGAGACCTCTCACAGATGGCAGATGAGCTGAGACGCCAGATGGTGCTGAAGAAGAGCAAATATGTGTTGCTGGGTTTCAGAGAGAACCAGGAGAACCAGGGCAGCACACTCCCTGGTTCTGAAGAAGCTTGTCAGCAGGAAAACCTGGGTGGAGATGATAGTGGCAGTGACAGCAAAGACAGCTTGCAGGACTTGGACTCTACTGCCTAGACCCTGCTTGAGCATTACAGGTCCTTGTATTTTAGCCACATTTTTTTTCTTGGGAACCCTGTGCCTGCTGTGATCTGCACTACGTGCTCCAGGGTCATCTCACAGTGACCCCAGTGCCTTCTCATTTTTCATGCTTAGCAGCAACCTTCCACATAAAACTAACCTATGTGATCATGACGGCACATCTGCACACAGGACCTGCTGAGCAGGAACCGGGGAAGCTTGAGGACTGCCACGGCAGCACCTTTCTTGGCTTCTATGCTGCCCTCGTACCCTGTTTACTACTGCACTGATTGTGTATATCTTGCAGGTTTCCTCCTTGAATGCCAAGCAGGAAGTGGGGACAACTCAAGAAGATCCCCAGCTTTCAGCATTTGCCAATATTTTCTGGGTCTTATTTCTTGGAATAGGCAGGACAATCAAGTTAGTTCTTATCCCCTGAGCCCCTATCTGGTGGAAATTGCTTACCCTTGCTTTCTCTGGAAACTGCCTTTGCTCTGCCCTGCCTTCCCTCTTTTTGAAGAAGAATGTTCCCTTTCCCAGTGGGAGAAGGTGGTAGGTATTGGACTTCAACGAAAGCATAATTTGGAGATGTTAAGGAAAGGACAAGCAAAAATTAAATTGCAATCTAACCTGAAAAAATAAAAATATTAAAAAAGGAGTTAAAAAAAAAACATCGTTAAATTTGCAGGCAAATGGATGAAACTAGAAATGATCATCCTGAGTGAGGTAACCCAGACCCAGAAAGACACCACACATGCTATGTACTCACTTATAAGCAGATGTTAGAACTATAGCACAGGGTAACCCTGCTGTAATCCACAGACCCAAAGAAGCTAAGTAGCAAGGAAGGCCCATGGGAGAGTGCCTAAATGTCACTTGGAAGGGGAAATAGAAGAGACAGCAGAAGCGGATGAAGAGAGGAAACCGGGCAGGAGATGGCATGGAGAGGGGAAACAAGGATGAGGATCAGATGTGGGGAGAACTGGGATGGGAGGTGAGTGGGCTGGGAACAAGAAGGGAAACTGAGGGGAGACATCTTTTTGTCAAGCTGGAGGCCTGGAACAGGGTAGGCTTCTGGGAGGATATGGGTGTGACTCTAGCTGAGACTCTTAAGGCGGGGGGGGGGGGTGTTGAAAGAAGACTGAAGTGACCACCTCCTAGCCAGGAAGCACTAGTGGAAGGAGGGGAAAAACAACCCATCAACAAAACCTTTGATCCAAAAATTACCCTGCCTGCAAGAAGTTCGGGGACAAAAAGGGAACAGAGATTGAGGGAATGTCCAACCTGAGACTCACCCCACAGCAGAGAGCCAGCCCCTGACACTATTAATGATGCTCTGCTCTGCTTGCGGACAGCAGCCTGACTTAACTATCATCTGCAAGGCTCCAGGCAGCACTGGATGGAGACATCTGCTGGAACTTGCATATGTCATGGGGCAGAGCTCTGGGGATCCTGTGGAAGTGTTGGGGAAAAGATGGAAGGATCTGGAGGGAACAGGAACCTCACAAGAAGACAAACAGAGACAATTAACCCAGTCCCATGGGGGCTTCCAGAGACTAAGACATCAACTAAGGAGTATGCATGGCTGGACCTAGGACCCCTGCACACATGTGGCTGATGGCAGCTTGGTCTTCATATTAGGGAGCCTGGCGAGTGGAGAGCAGAGGAGGGGGTGGGAGGTGAGGAGGGTTGTGGGAGTACTGTTTCCAACACAGACTCTATTGCCTGCTTAAGATCACTTCCCCCTGGCAAGGCTGCCTGGCCTGGCCTCAGGGGATGGGGTAATGCTCTGTCCTGATGTGACTTGATGTGCTGGGGTGGGTGCTACCCTTTTCTGGGGGGAAGGGGACAAGGGAAAGGAGAAGGACAGGGATGAGGGAAACTGGAGAGAATGGTTGTAAAATAAATAAACTGAAACTTAAAAAAACATACAAAAAAAAAGAGGCTCCAACAACAACAAAAAGTGAAGGGACTGAGGAGACTTGAGAGCCCTAGCTTCTCTTTCAGGGGACCCCAGTTCAATTCGAGCACCCACATGGCATACAACAGCTGTATCTCCAGCTTCAGGAGATCAAGCACTCTCCTCTCGCCCTCAAGAGAACCAGGCACACACATGGTACACAGACATGCAGAAATACACCTACGCACACAAAAAAGAAAGTTTCAATAGTAACTATTTTTAAAGTGACTGAGGACACAAATGTATATTTCCAAAATATATACTATATAAAACATATTTCTAAGCTTGCCAAAAAAAAAGAAGGCAAAAATGAGCTGCTTTGAAGAACATGCCTCTTTCCCAAAATAGTGTGTCAGGTTCAGATTTGGCAGGTTTTGTGAATGTGGATAGAAGATAAGGTGAGGTAACACTTCTCGGCTCTGTCCAGATGTCAGAATTTCTGAGAGACATGATCTATATGTGACAAGGAGGAAACATTAGAGATACTAAGGTTTGGAAAAGTGTCAAACAGTTCAGAGTCATTAAAAAACTGTCGAAGCAGAACTTAGGACATTAACTGAGTGAACTTTTCCTACAGGTATCTGTATACCGGGGATGAGATGGCAAAACTCTATCTGGAGTGGAAGTTTGGTATAAATGAATCGCGCATTGAATGGGCTATTTCGTTACTCCAGTAGCAAACTGAGATGGAAGTCTAGTTGTTTGTCAACCTGTGGGTCACTCTGATATGATATCTGACTTGTAGGATATCAGATATGTAACTGGGATTGTATATCAGATATCCTACCTATCACATGTTTACATTATGATTCATAACAATAGCAACATTACAGTTATAAAGTATCCTTAAATATAGTTGTATGGTTGGGATTATCAAAATATGAGAAAATATATTAAAGGGTCACAGCATTAGGAGGGGTGAAAACCACTGGTCTACATCTGAGCAGGGTGTCTAGGTTCTCTTTCCCTAGTAAGGGGAGCAGAGATAGTCTTTGACATGAACTCTGTTGCCTGCTCTTTGATCACTTCCCCTCGGGGGGTGGGGGGGGTTGACCTATCCCACAGAGGAAGAGGATCCAGGCAGTCCTGATGGGATCTGATAGGCTAGGGTCAGACAGTAGGGGAGGAAGACTTCCCCTTTCAGTGAACTAGAGAAGGGGGTGGGAGGGGAGGAGGAGGGAGGGTGGGACCAGAAGGATTTGAGGGAGGGGGCTTCAACAGGGATACAAAAAGAATAAACTGTAAAAAAAAAAAAGTAATAATAATTAAAAAAAGAAAAAGAAAACCACTGGTCTAGAACTACAGAAAAAAAGGAGTCCTTTCTCTTTAATTGTAAACATTTTTAGATTTAAAACATTAGCAGAAGACCAATTCAATAAACCATTCAAGAGTGAAATTGTCCATTCTTCTAACAGTTCATGTATACTGTAATTGATCTCAAATTTTAAAGGTTTTTTAAAAATTTCCCCTTAGAGTATGTGCGTGTCAATATTAAAAACCAATATAGTTTCCTTCAAGGATGTTACACTAATGAAAAAGCATTTTTCAAGCTTGTGATTAACTGTATGAAGTAAATCTATCTGAGGTCTAACAACTATAACCATTTTTTTTTTTTTTTTTTACAGTTTGAAAGCACAAAGTCCTTGAATCTGACTAAAATCAACCAGATATGGCAAACAGATAGCTAAATTGCTTCAGTTCCAAATAGCATCCAGCTGAGAAGGATGGGGTTTAAACAGAGCATGCCCAATAAAAGGTAGTACAGTAAATCCAAACTGGTGGCTTTATTTATTTCTCAATTGATGGTTCTTTTTAATTATCTGTAGAAAGCTTTAAAAGCTTTAAAGCTTTTACCCTATCAGTTTGCTTAGTTCTTACCTGTAAACAATCATCAGAAATAACTCTGTTAATTTTATTATCTATTGCACTGGGCCAAAGATTCACATTGATGGCATGCCCTTCATCCTCTATTGTGGTTCTGGGTAAGAAAATTAAACTATTGTTTCCTATGCTAAAATAAGGACATGGCATCTTGTTACTAGACAGGGGCAGAAAGCCTAATGCTAGTTCATAGAATCATCTGTATAATGAAAAAGAAATTCAACTGAGGATGGAGAGATGGCTCAACAGTTAGAAATACTTGCTGTTCTTGTAAAGAACCTGAGCTCTGTTCGCAGCAACTATGTCAGGTAGCTCATAGCAGCCTGTAACTCCAGCTCCAGGAGATCTGACACCCTCTTCTGGCCTTTGCGGGGAACTTCACTCAAATGCACCTACACATGGACACATATAATAAAAATAAAGTATTTTTAAAAGAAGAAAAAAATGTATGTGTGTTAAAAGAGAAAAGAGGAGAGAGAGAGAGAATATATTTACTTCTAGTTTGGGCCACAACTGAGTAAAGAGAAATCCTTAATCCTTCTTCTGTGGCTGGCCCATAGAAGTGCACCAACTTATAGAGAGGATAAAACAAAAGCCAGGGGCTGTGCACATGCAGAGGTAGCTGTGGGCCAAGTTACCTGAGAGAGAGAGAGATATCCCCTGGAGCAGGGGCCAGGGTTTGGGACATGCTGGATAGTTTTGTGTCAACTTGATACAAGTAAAATTCATCTGAGAAGTGGGAACCTTAATTAAGAAAATGATCTGTGCTGCTGCTGCTGGCTGGTCTGGACAAGGAAACTTCTTTTGCTGTTGAATTTGTGAACCAATTGTCTTCATTTGTGACAGATGGGGGAGGGCCCAGCCCATTGTGGGTGAGGCCAACCCTGGGCTGGTGGTCGTGAGTTCTATAAGAAGGCAGGCTGGGCAAGTCTAGGAGAGCAAGCCAGTAAGCAGTACTCCCCCATGGCCTTTGCATCAGCTCCTGCCTAAAGGAACCTGCCTGTTTGAGTTCCTGCCCTGACTTCATGTCATATCTGAGTAAGTGTCTCCATGTGTATCTCTCAATTGTCTCCAATACCAGTCTCATCTGTGTCTCTTTCAAGTTCAGTTTTACAGTTTTCTCAGGACAGAAATGCCCACAGTTGTTCATAAAAGACACGGTGAAAATCATTGATAGAAATAAGCATAAAAATAGAATTGCCATAT